AGGTGGTTTCCAAGTTTATGCACCCGGTTTTAATATCATTTAGCGATTTTACGACAATCGTTTACTATCCAATCAAGGTGACAGCCGAACGTGGCTATATGCAGTTACATTAAGTAATTTTGTCCCTCACTTCTTTACCTATTCAAAAATAGAAGAAAAAAAAACAGTTTAAAGAGGTATTGTGTCCTAATGTTCCAGGTCCAGAGTACCTCTGTTACCAGTAGTGTCCAGACAGACATTGACTTTAAAGATGATCTAATCCAGAGTGTTGTGACTGCAGAGAGCCATGTGGCTTCCTTGAATATACGCTCCAGTGTTGGAGGTCAGATCAAAACCAAGTAAGTTGTTACATTGTTTCTTTATAGCTATGTGCATTATTATTATTTTTAATTTATTATTATTTTAAATTAATTGATTTGAAATAGTTCAAATAATTTTGTAATTTCCAGTGTATGCTGTTTTATAAAAAGTTTGCATATATCACACATAGTGTAGTTTTGAAAAAAATCAATTTTCAAGTTACTTATCAATTCTATTTCGTTGTATGTAACAGCCAAGAGTTAAAGTACATCTCATCAGATCCCTCTAAGAAGGCCACCCAAGGCACCTCTTTGGAAACCGCTCTTGATGCTCTCAATAAAGGTTGGTACATTTTATCATCCAGTAGCATTGGAGGACACATATTTGAAGATGAAAATAATTATAGATAAATTAATTTAGAGCAAGAATTCCTTTGGTATGTAAAATGTCTGTATAAATACTGGGTGGAAAGTCATTTTTGTGTTGACATTTTCCATGAAACTTTTTTCTCTGTGTTTTAGAAGGGAACTATGGAATGTATGCCATGCTTCTTGCCACCAGCCCTGATACTCAGCAGTGTGGAGGGGATTGTGTCTCAGTAAGTGATACTGATCAGAGAAGTGTGTGTGTGTGTGTGTGCATGCGTGCGTGTGTGTGCACTGTCACCTCATCCACACACATTGTAAATATTTCTCCAGTCAGGAAATGTTTTTCATGATAAAGATATTTATTGGTGATTTTCTCATTGAGACAGTTGACCATAAGAAAATTATAAGCAAAAAATTTATATTTATGGTTAACCCACAGCTATTGTTTAATTATCATTTCAGGCCACAGAACTGGTAGAAAAGTACAGAGAAGAAGCTTTAAAGAGTGAAAGTCTAGCCAAGACATCATCTGCAGAAGCCTTTCTGAACCTGGTTGACAGCTTCAGAGATGTGGGTAAAAATGTCCTGCTGGATATCCTCAAGAGTGAAGACAATGCAGATGTCCTGTAAGTGGGCCAAGGCTGGTCTGTTTGATTTTCTTAACTACATTTATCTGAAAGAGTAATAAATATCTCTTTAACTTTTTTTTTTAGGAAAATGATAAAAAACTATTAAGATTTATTGATCCATATATGCATTTCAAGATAAAAAAATTCTGTTGAATTAAAAACATATGAAGTTGAACAATGACATTGATAGAAAGTGTTTCAGAAGGTTTCTGTAAAATCAGTAATAGGCACAGACACAGTCAGTCTTTAACACCTGTTGTTTGTCTAGCAAAAAGTGGTATCAACAAAATGATTATGATGTCAATTTTCAGTTCAATTCATTTTCTGATCTACCATATTCATCATTTCAAGACCTCAACTCATTGATGCTGCTGTGGCAACCCAGACCCCAGCCAGCCAAGAGGCTCTGATGGAGCTGATCAATTTTGAGGATGATTATTACACACAAAATTCTGAGAGATACTTATTTACTGTCTCCTTCTCCACCCACCCTAGTGAACAACTGCTCAAAGATTTATTAGTAAGTAATTTTTTTTGTGAAAAACAAAGCTGGGACGTATTATTCAGTGCACTTTTCAAAATCAAGTATTGTTTGACTTTTTTCAATGTTAATGTTTACTTATTATGCTTTTGCCAAAACCAGTGAAAATTGAGTTTTCCTTTTAAAACATTTAAATGTTTGACGAAAAGTAATACAGTGTCCTATTTTTATTGAAAATAATGGAGAGAAGTGCGGTTAAGATATAGTTAAGCTGACACACTATTTCCTGGGATTATTTTGATATTATAAACTGTTTTAAATTTTCGTTATCAGGAATTGTACAAAAAAGATGTACCAAGTGAAACAGTTCGGGAATCTATAGGTCTTGCCATGGGAGCAGTTCTGAACACTTACTGCAGACAGACAGGGCAGTGGGGTTCACAGGTTTGTAGTTCATGGGGTTTGATCTTTGGGTAAAAAAAAATATCCACCTTTTCAGAATAAGTTTGTCCAGTTCTACTTTCAGTAGAAACTTAGTATTTGGTCTTGATTTTAAAATGTAAGTAACCGTAGAAAAAAAATTCTTTATTACATAAAATTCACAGTTAAAAGTCCTCAACTCCCTTCCCATTGTATTGAAAATCCACAATTTTTATTTTAAAAAAATTTCAGTCAAACTCTTGTACAGTAGTTTCTCTGCACATTTATGTTATATTTCATGTATGAACATTTATGAAAGAAACATGAAATTTTATTTTTACTTCACTAACTGTCTTTGCGATTCCAATAAACAGATTTCAAAGGCCATAGAGGAAGCCATCACAACCAAACTGGCTGCCTGTGAGGATGAGGCTTGCAAGCTACGACATCTTCGAGCACTGATGAATGCCCGTCTTCCAACCACAGTGCCAATTCTGACCAAGTACGCTGAGGAAGCCAAGGAGACCATAGTGGCCATGGCAGCTCTGAAAGCATTAGGCAAAATTGATATGCAATATATTACAAAAGAGGTACAACTATATATAGAAGAAATTTTTGAGATAACACTTGTGGTTGTTGTATTTGATTTATAGCTTTTACAAAAACTAGCTGTATGCATCTCTCATTGTCTTAGTTCAGTCTATTTTTGTTGACATTTAAAGAAACTCAAATGAAAAAGAGTTGGACAAATTATTTTCATATCAGATAATACAATAGGTACTATCACAAAATCTCATAAGAAGTCTCCACTACATTGTATGACATCTCAACATCATCCTTCCATTTGTACAAAGTCCTAACAATCATGGCAAAATAAGAAGAATCATTGTGATTTTTCTCTCTAGGTTCAAGCCGTGCTTGCTCGTATCTACCATCAAAACAATCGCGTATATGACACCACCATAAGATCTGCAGCAGTGGTCATCTTGCTTAAAAGCCATCCGTCCCCAGCACAGCTGAAAGTGATTCTGCTCTCCCTGACTGACCAGTCCCAATATGAGATGTCCACCTATGTTCTGGCTAAACTGAGAGATCTCACGAAGAACTGTCCAGAATTCAGGTGGGAATTCTAATGGTTTTTCAGCTTTACATATTCTCAGCTGTGATGGTAATTGTATTTTTACATAGGCTTTACTGTTAAAGGGATAATAATTCTTTGAATGAGGTCTATATTTCACAATAAAAACATTGTGAATAACTCATAGAAATATAATATATTCTGTTTTATGACAAAAACAGCAGTTATAGCTATTATTCTGATATCTTAGCTTGTCTTCAGACCACGTGACCTCCATTGATAGCTATACTCTGTTATAATCTTTTAAGAGATTAAAAAAAAAAAAAAAACTTTTTAGAAAAAAAAACAGGGACTAACTTTAAATGTAAAAATGGATTCATTAACCATTGGTAAGTATGGAAAAATTGTTGTTTACTCCAGGAAAATTCATTTTTTGGCCAAAACGAAGAGTTATTATCCCTTTAAATTTGGAAATTAAAATTTTCAATTTGTTCCCCCTGTAACAACTCTAAAATGCAATGAACAGCAGCAAACCTTGAAAGCTCTGAATGAATTCAAAACAATTTGAATAGTCACTATTTTAGCAACATATCCAATCAACTGAAAGAAAGGATACTATTGTGCATTGAGAATAATGTGATGATAGATACGTATATTTGTTTATTTCAGATCATTAGTTCAAGATGTACTGAGGGATGTCAGGATCAACAACTACCAAGTGGTAGCTCAGAAAGGATTGTCAAGTGCCTTCAGTAACTTCCTTGCAGGTACAGTGATAGTTTGGTTTATACAGTTGTTTTGTCTTGTGATGTGTGCCCTGCCATGATGTATCATATCATATCATACATACCTAGAGATGTTATGTGACAATGGCAGTATACCCTTTATTAGGTATTAAGAGGTATTTTATGGTGAGGTGCGAATACTTTCTTTCAATATGTATATCAAATAATACACATCTGCCACCCTCTTGTGATATCTGCCTTGAAAACAGGTATCACTGATGCTCGTGGTGTTCTGGCATATATGGCTCAGGTGACAGTGTATTATTTTGGATGTATCATATCATGTAACATATCATATCATATATGATATGTTAACGGATTGCAGATGGCGCCGACCTATGGCGACACTCCTTTGAGAGCAAGCATTATTTTAGTATTTTATCTGTTTTTAACACTGTGTTTGTCCACTGCACCTGTGTTTTACTCAAGAGAGGAACTCCTAGCTATACGGAATGCCAATCGTGCCTCAAAATCCACTGTAACGGGACTAAACACGGAGCCTTCCATACAGCGCATTGTTTCCACTCAGAATGACAGCAGTCATGACACTAAGACAAGAAGGAAGAGGGGTAAATGAGGAGGTCATCTGGTGAGATCCAGGAAAAGAAACCAGCGATTAGCAGTACCTAGTATCATCTTGGCTAATGTGCAGCGTTTATTCAACAAGGTTGAAGAACTGAAGTATT